TTCTACTCAAGTGAGAGGAGATCTTCTTATATACTCTCCACGACCCATAGGAAGTTGACTAGTGACCGAGTCAAATCTCCTAGAATTGTGATAATTTACTTATCGACGGGAAATTTTATGGTGACATGAAAAGCGGATGTGAATACTTTGAAAGTATTTAACACTAGCTTACTAAATATGGCTTTATATGATTTTTTATTATTCTATAGTTTTTAAATTGGTTGCCGCGATAAACTGACTGTCTACCTATCCTCAACTGACCTGAAGTGTAATGAGTCTACATGCTTCCTTTTTTCCATCATAGTATCCATACAATGGCCTGAAAGTTGGAGCTAATCAGTTTTCGGCGATTCCTTTCTTATTGAGTGTTAACTTAAACAAGATATTCATGGAGCTATCAGTGTTACTTTCGACTTGATAATCCTCACTGATTGTCGTGATTATGATCACCTCATTAAAGTGTTCTCCCAAGTACAAGTTAGTATCTGAAAATTTAATTGAGGGGTGAATTAACCTCATGCTTGACTTTCATGCAACTTCAACCTTGTCCCCTCCAATAAATAGTAGGCATGATTACGGTGATATCGATTATCTTTGTTGGGAACCAACTCATCGCAACTGCCATCAGCAAATGTCTTTTCTAGTACCCTAGTGGAGGCTTCAGGAGCATTAAATTCCTTCAATTTCTTATCTTGATCAACTCCTCAATTAGGTTATAGAGAGTTCGACATTCCTCACTACCGTAATCGTGTTCTCAGTGGTACACATAATATTGATTGGGACCATGTACATGCGATCCTACCTTAAGATGGAATAGTCTCTCGAAGTACTCTTTATTTTTGTTGGTTTCTATGATCTCTACCATAAAAAGTTTAAGTGGTGTGTCTCAACTCTTCACAACCGGCTTCTTCTCTATGTTCTTCAATCTCGACAAGCAAGCCCATCATAAGTGCTTTAGGTTTTTCTTCTCTCTAAACAACACTTCTAAAATCTATGGCCTCTGTGATCAGGTTTCCCTTTTTAAGATTTTGGTGACGAGGTCTTAAATTTTCTCTGAGTTTGAGTTTTTTTCTTAAGAAGGTGGTCTCTACCTGTCTCTGCTTTCTTCTTCTTTTTCTGCCTTCTTCATCATGGTAGTTAGGGTAAAATCGTTTCCTTCTTCTACTTCTCCTTTCTTCATTAATAGAGTCAACGACAAGAAAAATTATTCCATACGGACGGCGTATGCCGAAATGGATATGTCGTCCGATCCCCACCATTGGTCAGCAAAAAATGTATTTCAGTTGGTCCTTTAAAAAAAATTAATAAAGAGGCCCACTAAAATACATTTTTCTCTGATCAACGGTGGAGATAGAATGGCATATGCATTTCTGCATACGCCGTCCTTATGGAATAATTTTTTGTTCAACCCATCTTTATTCGAGTGCTTGAAATCGTCAGAGCCCAATCATACTCACTTGAGAATCAGGTCTATGGTGCTTGGTAAGTCTAGCGCACGTGGCATCTTTGCACCCACGATGCTAGTGCTTCTTTTATTCGTGGTGGATCCAGAGCACCGGTCACTGTTCTGGATGACCTAATATTTTATTTGATTTCAGAATGAGTTTGAGATGCTTCCCCGATGTCTTACATCTCCTTTCTTATCGCTTCTCTCAACTCTTTCATTTGTTGAATCACATTTTCCCTACTGCAATCCATTATCCTCAAAGGGAATTCTTTCAAAAAATGGGATCTTCTTTGTAAAGCTTTCATATGAAATCCACATTCACCATTCCTTCCAGGATGTTAAATTCTAATAGAATTTAAGGACTTATATTATTGGTGAGTCCTAAAGGGAACCAATATCAAATGTATTGTTTTTTGACCTTCAATCAACTGGAAGAAGATGGCTTCTCAGAGACTTCTGAAATTCATAGAGTTTGAGGGAGGGAGGGATAGAGAGAGAGAGAGAGAGAGAGAGAGAGAGAGAGAGAGAGAGAGAGAGAGAGAGAGAGAGAGAGAGAGAGAGAGAGAGAGAGAGAGAGAGAGAGAGAGAGAGAGAGAGAGAGAGAGAGAGAGAGAGAGAGAGAGAGAGAGCGTGAAAAAAGAGAATTAGAGTTTTTTCGAAAAGAGAGTTGAAGAGGGAGAAAGGAGCCCCCTTCCATTTCCTATTATTGACCCTTTTATACATAAGTAGAAATTTTTAAAATAGGACATAAATGACTAATTTCTCTCCAATCAGTCTCATAATTATAAACAAGTGTCAGTTAAGATCAGATATTGCTAGTACAACGACTTTCTTCGATGCTTGGATGATAGGGTCGAATCCCCAGTGTTGTGTGATGCCTTCAAATAAAAACCGAAGGATGTCCTAGTCAGTTTTGATAGCTTTCTTGAATTGATACCTTCACATGGATAGGTCAAAGTCATCCTCTTGAAGAAAATTGGCAATTAAATGAACCAGATTCTTCGGTAGATAGTTTTGATTCAACCACTTTGGCAGGTAAGCTTGATTCAACTACTCAATAGGTGGGCTAGATCCAGTCGCTTCAGTTGGTAGGCTCGATTCAACTATCTTGGCATGTGAGCTCAATTCAATCGGAGAAACATCAATTAAAATTTTTGTATAATAATAATTTTTTCACACAATTCAAATCTCCAGAATCAATTTCCACAATTTATTCATATTTTTTCATGGAATTGCATTCAAAGCATTCATTATAGCAACATACTAGGGCTCAATCAGATTATGCAAAATTAATTTATAACTTCATAGCGACTGACCTGATAATAAAGTATTAAATGTATATTCAAATATGATCGTAGCTAGGGCTGTCAAAATGACTCGTTGTTCGTGATCAGTTCGTGTTCGGCTCGTTAAGATGCTCGTGTTAGGCTCGTTTGCTAAGTTAACGAGCCGAACATGAACAAAGATTTGTTTGTTCGTGTTCGGCTCGTTTTGGCTCGAAATATTATATATATATATATATATATATATATATATATAT